ACAAGACACTTAAATCTAAGACTGAAATGTTGTCATTTGCAATCGCAACAGTTTATAAACAGAACTTCAAAGAGCAAATCTATATAGTTTTCATAAAATCTCTCTCATTCACAATTTTTGGAAAATGCTTTTCAAGTCATCCAAGTTTCAGCTGAGGCAAAGGATTTAATAATCTGAGTTATTCAGGCAAACAGCAAATAATGGTTGGATGTGTTACATTAGGGTAGTTGTTCTGAAACTTTAACATGCATGGAGTCATAAGGAAGGCTTGTTAAAACACAGATTGCCAGACTCCACCCCCAGGGGCTCTGACTGAGGAGGTCAGGGTGGGCCCTGAGAATTCACATTACTACAAGTTCCCAGGTGATGCTGATTTGATTTGATGCCACTGGGAGAGCCACTGCATTAGGAAATCACATTCCTGTTTCAAGTAGAATTATAGCTTTGCCTTTGGGGTTTTCTGCAGGGGTTGAGAACTTCCAAAAAAAAAAAAAAATGTAAACCTCGAAACAAAACCACTCTTTCTCGCTACAGAAACTTGTTATTGTCATAGATAAACAGTTGGGTTTTGTTTATTCAAATACCAAGAGAATTTAGGGATTATCTTAATGCAACCCAAAGGATGTAGGAGTAAATCACTATCTAGTCACAGAAAATTTGGGATGTTTGCTATTCCTTCTGCAGAGTGTGCCCCTACCCTCTGTATATTATTAGGCAGGTAACTGCAGTTGCAGGGGCCTCCCTCCAGAGCGCCTGCCTGCTCCCCAGAGGTTTTTCTTTCCAGCTAAAGGAGAACTTTCACCTAGAGCTTCCTCACATCCATGAAGAGTAGCCCTCAGACCTGGTTTTTATGGAGCATAAAATACAAAGGAGGGAAGGGAGCTACATAGGATTGCCAACTCAACTGTTATCAGGATCCCTTTATGAAAAAAGGACATTTTGACCCAGAAGAATAAAGACATACTCTCCAAGTGAAGGATAATTCTTTAAGTTGCATAATTGTATGAAAAACTTCCTACTCTCTCCTCTCCATATATATTTTTAATTGCAACCAGTGCCCTAGGACTTTAAAGATCACGTCACACACACTCACACACACACACAAAATTACTTGTAGCTTTACTTCTAGTTTTAAGTGCACTGTTATCAAATGGATTTATGGAAGCTCTGGGTGAATTAGAGATTAGTTCATAAATACAATTTTATTACTCCATTTACACACACAAGAAAGAATGACTTGAAGTAAAGGGAACAACAAACACCACGTGATATTAGGGTACACTCTGACCATACAGTGTAATTCTTAATTATATACTGATGAGAGGATTTTATTATACTTTTGATTACAAGTACTTTCTGTCTCTTCCAAATAAGAACATAAACTTCTTGAGTGTGAGTACCATGACTTCTCTTGCCTTTTATCTCTTATGTACAAAGCACACACTGGCCTGGATAAATTCATGTGGCTTCATAGTTGGGTAGATCCGCCTTGAGATTATAGTTGCCTCATTCCTTGTCAATGGAAATGTACAACATAAGCTTTCTTAAACAAATGTTGACCTTAGTTTTCATGGGTAACACAAATGTTAATAACTTCAGCTCAGCTGATCCAAAATACTAGCTTAGCAAATTACAAATTGATGAGTTTTTGTGCGGTATCAATATCAGATAGTTACCCAGTGCTCATGGGAGATGGATGGCCCTTGGGTCTGAGTCTGGGTCTAGGTGAGTCCAGAAGGATATTTACATACTTCCTGGTCATTTCTTTCTTCCCCTTTAGCATTATGTATTTTCACTGTATCCTAGATGATATGTGGGTTGCTATCTGGTTACACAGCAACCAATCATGTTCTGTTTTGTAATACTAATACATTCATATCATTGGTTTTGATCCAAAACATGGGAATTATTTTTTAATATATTTTTTTAGTTGTCAATGGATCTTTTATTTTATTTATATGTGGTGCTGAGGATCAAACCCAGGGCCTCACCACATGTTAAGCAAGTGCTCTACCACTGAGCCACAACTCCAGCCCAAAAACATGGGAATTATTTTGATCATATTTTATGTTTCATATCTAAAATCCCTAAGGTGTAACTGTGGATGTACTAAAACTGTCCTTGGTTAAGATTCATATTTTAGCTATTTAGTTAGTATTGTTCTTAGAAAGCATAGTTATGGATGACACTTGGAGATGCTAAACAGTTTTAAGATTCCCTATTTAGTATTCGCACTGCAGTCTCAGAATGAGTATAGGTTAGAATCCTTACTGTGTCACTACAAACTTCACTCTTAGGCAAACTGCTAAAGATCTTTGAGCCCATTTGCTCATCTTTTAAGGAAGTACTGTATATTCTACCACCATCTGAGCATTAAATAAAATAATATTATATGTGAAAACACTCTGTACGAACCATGAAATCATACACAAGCATGATATGTTTATGCCCCAGCAATAAACAATCCATCTCAGACCCACTGAAGATGTTGTTTGCCTGTGCTCTCTCAATCATGCTTTCATATTCTTAACACCATAATGAAAGAGTCTCATTTATAGGCCAATTTCTGCACCTAGCAATAGCTACACTATTAAAGGGTCTAGTTAGAACATGTCATTAGGTTCTTATGTGAATAAGGTTCAAACATGTTAGACCAGAGTCACCCCTTAATATGTATAAAATGTGTGGTGTAATGGGGGACCCATAGGTGATGTTATTAGGTCCTAGTATATTCTTTATCTCTCCACATTCTGATCTACAGAAGAGGTATGAGCTATTTTTGTAAAAAAAATAAAGAGATAACTGATATTATTTAGTTTTTGTTTGGTGTTTAGTTTGAAAAAGACCTTGATCATTGGTCATGGTGGCCCACATCTGTGATCCCAATGGCTCAGGAGGCTGAGGCAGGAGGATTACAAGAGCAAAAGCAAGGTGCTAAGCAACTCAGTGAGACCCTGTCTCTAAATAAAATACAAAATAGGGCTGGGGATTTGGCTCAGTGGTTGAGTGACCTTGAGTTCAATACCAAAAAAAAAAAAAAGAAGACGACTTTGATCGTCATCATCATTAGATTAAAAGATTTTGCAATTCTTGTACCTTAGGAGATGCTATCATATATATACTCAGGACCCAGATATAGGAAACTTGGCTTTCAGTGTCCAAATCTAGTAACCCTTTCACCCTTAGATAATGTAATAATTAGGGGTAGGTAAGTGGTCAAGGGTATGACACTAGCACCTATATCATAGGGTAGTTGTGTAGGTTGTTAATATATAAAGCACAAGACAGAGTTGAAACCATATTGCTATGTAAGTATTAGGTAATATTACTATTAGTATTGTTTTTCTAAAGTTTAATTTACTAATATTTGTAGTCATTGAATGTGACCCATTTCTAGGGTAAGAAGTTGAATTTTTCTAACTCCAGTAATTTCATATTTCATTTAGTGAAAACAAAACGAACAAAAAACATGTTTTTTTTTAAACATTCCACCTCTGCCTGGAAGTGATCAACATCTGCTGCAAATGTAAAAGAGATTGTGCAATGGGGATAGAATGGAATAATATTTTTCGTTCAAACTCGACAGTGACACTGATTCATGGCAATCTGATTTGTATTGAGCGAGTTCTTACAAATATAGACATTTAATATATTACTCAAATAATAAAAAATAACTTGGCCAGGTGCAGGGGAATGTGCCTGTAACCCAAGTGACTTAAGATGCTGAGGCAGGAGGATCACAAGTTCAAGGCCAACCTGGGCAATTTAGCCAGATGCTGTCTTAAAGTAAACATTTTAAAAAGGGTTAGAAACATAGCTCAGTGGTAGAGCACAATGGGTTCAATCTCCAGTACTGAAGGAAAAAAAATTTTTTTTCAGGAAAAATAACTCCATCATAGTCTTTGTAGCCATTGAATAAAAGGGGAAGAAAAATATTTCCTAAGTACTGTGTAATTTAAGACCATAAATACATTATTAAACCTTTTTTCATAGAGAAGCTATCTTTCTCAATAGGGTAAATGATAGAATTAAACCTTTTTTTGTATTTTGATGCCTATTTTTCTTAAGATATTATTTAAATGACAGAGTTTTTTGTTTTGTTTTGTTTTTTCTTCTTTTTGGCATCAACAGTGATTGATCCCAGGGCCTCATTCACCCTAGGCAAGTGCTCTATCACTAAGCTACATTCCCAGCCCAAGGGTTTGTTTATTGACTGATTTATCTTACTCTCATTTAATGATAATCACTAGTTATGAAATGTATAGAACAATTTACAGACTGCATCCTGAATGAGTCTAGACAATTTTGGTTTAAAAGGTTGTTTGTTTGTTATGGTTTTTCTGTCTTCTCTTTTAAGTTGTTACTTGGCATCAAGGTCGTTTTCTTTGCCTCTAGCTGCATGTCTGATGTGCTGTCTGATTTGCTGAAAGCAGAGTGACTGTGCTTGTTAGACTATGTTTTTGTAAAGAAGTTCTGAGTAGATACTTCAATCTCTTTCCCCTGGTACGGTACAGTAACTTGCTGCTCCAGGAAGGGGTCTACAGATCAGCAGCACCTTTATTAGAAAAGCAGAGTCTTGTGTCTCCCCGCCTCCTGCAAACCTATTAAATCAGAATCCACATTTTAACAAGATTCCCAGGTAACTTGTATGCACATCAAAGCTTGAGAACTCCTACTTGGCAGATTAGCTGTGTGCCAGTTGATTTCCCCATTTAGAAATCCTTTTTTAGTGGCTGGGCTTGTAGCTCAGTCATAGAGCACTTGCCTAGCACATGTGAGGCACTGGGTTCGATCCTCAGCACCACATAAAAAAAATACTTAAATAAATAAAATTAAAGATGTTAGAAAATCCTTTTTTTAGCTTACAAATGGTATCTTGCTGTGTTCTAGGTTATACAGCATGCCAAAATATTTTACCACTAGAAATGCCTGACATTATTACTATGTCTAGAAGTGTTCTAAGTTTGGCATTAGGTAATTGGTGAACATTTTATTTTCTCTCCCCTAGGATATTCCTGGTGACCCTGAAAGAGTCCATATCATGGAATCAATCTCTATGATGGGAAGCCCTAAAAGCCTTAGTGAAACGTTTTTGCCTAATGGAATAAGTGGTATCAAAGATGCAAGAAAGGTCACTGTGGGTGTAATCGGAAGTGGGGATTTTGCCAAATCCCTGACCATTCGGCTTATTAGATGTGGCTATCATGTGGTCATAGGAAGTAGAAATCCTAAATTTGCATCTGAATTTTTTCCTCACGTGGTAGATGTCACCCATCATGAAGATGCTCTAACAAAAACAAATATAATATTTGTTGCTATACATAGAGAACATTACACCTCTCTATGGGACCTGAGGCATCTGCTTGTGGGTAAAATCCTGATTGATGTGAGCAATAACATGAGGATAAACCAATACCCAGAATCCAATGCTGAATATTTGGCTTCATTATTCCCGGATTCCTTGATTGTCAAAGGATTTAATGTTGTTTCAGCTTGGGCACTTCAGTTAGGACCTAAGGATGCCAGCCGTCAGGTATGTAATTTTGAACTTCATTCTTATTTATCTGGTATTTGGTGGTTAACAAATAGCAGATATTTTAAAACCAAATTCTGACATTCTCCAATGACTATTTTGAAAACTGTGTATGAGCATTTTAAGATTAATGTCCTGACCTTATAAAGGCATATTTCTATTTCCAAAAATTATGAGGAAAGCTGAAAAATATGACATTTCTGTCATAACTAGTTAATTAAAGAAAAGGCAAGTTTAGCTGATAAATAATGTGACAGTGCATTGATTCTCTCCTAGAGTCCTCCAAAACAGAAACAGTAACAAACAAGTCTTTTTCTTTCCTTCTTTCCCTCTTCCCTCCCTGTCTTCCTTCTTCTTCCCCTTCTTCCTCCATGGCAAAAGCTACTAGGTAACACAGTATTTCACCTCTGAATAAAATACTATTCAATATGATCCTTTAAATAGTATTTCAGACTAAAGGACTTTTTTTATTTTTAAATATTCATAGAATATAAAGTAGTACAGTTTAAGGGTAGATTTCAACCCGTGTAGGACAGGTAAAGACTAGATTTCTTACGTTTACTTTCAGCAAGCATCTATGGATAGATAGTTCTTTATCTAGTTCAACTTGAAAGTGAAACAGATGGCAAGTTCTGTTGGTGCCCCTGGAATGAATTTTACTTTTACTTCTAAAAGTAAACACATAAAATAGTGTACTTTGAAAAAGTTGTGCTTATGTGTTAAAATTAAATATGATAAAATGATGTTACGATTTTTGTCCATAAAGATAGCTGTTAAACATTCCTTAGAAAATAAATGCATTATATCATTATATGGTGTATATCAGAGTCATGATAATAATTCAGTTTCCTTTTTTAAGTATCTTTTTAATTACAGATGAATACAATACCTTTCTTTTATTTATTTATTCTTATGTGGTGCTGAGGATCGAACCCAGTGCCTCACTCGTGCCAGGCAACTCACTACCACTAAGCCACAAACCCAGCCCTGTCATTTACTTTCTTTATTTTAAAGACTAGCAAAACAATACATATTTTCCCAGAGGCTATTTCCTTTTCTTTCTTTTTTTCTGTTCTTTTTTTTTTTTAACTTCTTTTTTCAATACTGGGGATCAAACTCAGGGACTCACTCAAACATGCTAGGCACATGTTCTACTACTGAGCTACATCCCCAACTTCTTGAAGTTATTTCTTAGTCCTTTTTGTTTTGTTGCATATCCACCAAAGTTTTGCAGTGGATAAACATAAGGCAAATTAGAGCCAGGACCTGAGAGTCAAACGTGAATTTAATCCTTCATTCATATTTGTTATCATTTAAATTTCCAATGGAAAAAAATGTGGAACAATGGTTAAATTCAAAATGAGCTACAGGAATAGTTTAATTTGTAATTTCATAGTGGGTGTGCCCCTTGTGGAGTGTTTGGTTTATACTTTTAGATTTATTATAATATTTATCACTTATGAGAAAAAAAAGTTTACTCCATTGTCACAACTAAAATGAATTAATTTAGAATGCTTTCCTTATTTCTTTGATATAAAAGGATCTCCATGTTAGAAGTTCATGAATGTTTGTGTAATGGTATAGAATTCAACTGGCTAATGTTAAGCTGAAATTCATGATCCAAAGAGCTCTACATAGCCACCATTGTGTATATAGACTCAGCATGCAAATGTTGCAGTGTGGCTTATTTCAGAGCCTTTATACAAACATCTTTGGTGATATATTTAGAAATTTGTTTTCCCCAAACATTACTGGAGATTTTATACCAATATTTTTCTAGCCCTAAGTGAGATGACTTACCCATTAGTAACAGTAGCTCACTCCTGCAATGAACTTGGTGCTCAACAAATATTTGTTGAATTTTTAACTCCATTACAGTACCAGTGAGGTACTAGGAGAGCTAAGTTCATTTGAAAGCCTAACCTCACCCCAACCTATACTATTATTACATTTCCTATAGAGATAATATCTTAGTCCTAAAAAATGTAAGTTGCTTTCCTATTTAAATTAACTATTTTTATTTGTCAGGAATAGCATCATTATTTAAAGAAGAAAACATTTTGTAGACTTACCAATGAAGTAATATACCTGAGATTATCCATGGTTTTTCAGAGATACTTGCTGAATTGTGTTCTAAACCTAAATTTTATAAATTGTACAGTATCATAACATAATTTAGAGGTTTTAATTGCAAATGCCACTATCCAAAGTTCATGCCCACATTCACTCTTGCTGAATATCTGTAAAAGGTGGTGCTTATAATTACTTACGAGGCAGAATCACTACAATCCAGAACTAAATCTTGTCCACAAAATCAAGAGCCAGCCTCACTCTGTTTCCTATAAGAGTTACAGAGCTGGGGAGGAGCAGAGATTGCCAGCAGCTCATATTCCACCTGTGCCTGAAGGGGACACTTTACTATGCTGCTGCTATTAAACTGAGGGTCCTAGAAAAGTGCACCTTTCCTTCCAGCTGCCTCCCTTGCCCTGAGGACTCCCCTCTGTGGATCCCAGGTTTCCACTAGATTTTTTATACTTTATTTTCTTGTTATCATAGGTGATAAGGACTTTGTGTATGTTTGTTTTTAATGACATTATTTAAAATCTATTGATAATAGGTTGGTAAATTAATCAGTGCTTTATCTCCTGAATTTTAATCATTTGCATTGCTCAAAGCCCTTACAAGTGATGCATCATGGATTAAGTAGAGCATGTGATGAACGCAACTTTTATAAACCAATAATAATAATGAGTTTTTTTGTTTTTCCTGCAGGTTTACATATGCAGCAACAATATTCAAGCTCGACAACAGGTTATTGAACTTGCCCGCCAGTTGAATTTCATTCCTGTTGACTTGGGATCATTATCATCAGCCAGGGAGATTGAAAATTTGCCCCTGCGACTGTTTACTCTCTGGAGGGGGCCAGTGGTGGTAGCCATAAGCTTGTCCACATTTTTCTTTCTTTATTCTTTTGTCAGAGATGTGATACATCCATATGCAAGAAACCAGCAGAGTGACTTTTACAAGATTCCTATTGAGATTGTGAATAAAACCTTGCCTATAGTTGCCATTACTTTGTTGTCTCTGGTATACCTAGCAGGTCTCCTGGCAGCTGCATATCAGCTTTACTATGGCACCAAGTATAGGAGATTTCCACCTTGGCTGGAGACCTGGTTACAGTGCAGGAAACAACTCGGATTACTAAGTTATTTCTTCACTGTTGTCCATGTTGCCTACAGCCTCTGCTTGCCGATGAGAAGGTCAGAAAGATACTTGTTTCTCAACATGGCTTATCAGCAGGTACTGAAAGTGCTTATTATTTATCTGACGCTAGTCAACTTTATCAATATAAATTGTGAAACATAAGACTTAAAATAGTGTAATATTTTATATACCTTGTCATGGAAATATTCTGCTGGTATATTTTGGGAGGGAAAGAATTGTTCTTTAAATAGTTACTTTGCATAAGAATTATGTGACTCATTCAAAATCATTTCAGGTAAAAACAACTACTATCTCCTTTACAGAATACAAGCTGGGAAGTTGAGGGTTATTTGGGGGGTTTTCCTCCCTTTTAATGTTATGATGGTAAAGACTGTTTCTAACATTGAACAATTAACAATGTTAATAACATTGTTAATGTTAAAATAACATTAATTATTTTAATGTTTTATAATCAACCATGGTCCACAAAATAATGCAACTCATGGTAAACTTGTACAATGAAATTAGAACCAGTAAATATACAAAACAAAATAGAAACTCAGATCAGGAGAAAAAAAGTAGTATGTACCTCTGCTGGCTAAGAATGTCTATGTAGCTTCTGTTTTGCCTTTGAGATTTCTGATACAGTAAAAAAGGAGACATTGTTAACAATGTCTTGTTGGTTCTTGTTGTCAAAGAGAAGAAAAATATACTAGTTCCTTTGGTGAAGCTTTTCTAGCACTTAGCTCTCCCAGAAAATCACAGGGAGACCTTCACTGGAGAAACTTGATGATGAGGTTGACTGATCTCACTAATTTCCATTCCATAAATGTAAAATGAGGGATTTCACTGAAGCTATTTGGTGTAGCATTTCTCAAAGAAAGCCAAGATCACTGCACCAAAACAAATGTGTAAAAGCATTTATATTTTATAAGAAACCAAGACATCATAGTCCGAGTATATAGCATCTACTACTTCAGCTTGTTTCAACAATAGAACCTAAAATAATTGTCTGAGTTAGTAGATGGATGTCCTTCAAGCTATCTGCTCTCTGAAAGTACCACTTCTCTTAACTGAATACTAAGGCTTTGATATCTGCTCATCCAGCTTCCTCACCTCCTTCAAATTTTTGCTCAGCTCTTAACTCAATGAGGCCTACAGTGGACACTCTTTAAGTTCCGCCACTTGCCTCCAACCCAGGCACAGTACTCACAGGCCCTCTTAACCCTGTTCTAAGTTTCTTTTTCCAGTAGCACTTACCACCCCATAACACACTTTTTGTTTTCATTGTTTGTTATATTTTCTGTTGTCTGCTTTCTCCCATCAGAATGTGAGTTCATGAGAGGGGGGAATCTTTGTCCCTTGTTGTTTTGTAATGTATGGCTGATTCCCAGAATTCTGCCTGGACACAGTATATGCTCAAAAAGTCTATTTGTGTGCCAGGCGTGGTGACTCACGCCTGTAATCCCAGCAGATGGGGCAGGGGTGATGCTGAGGCAGGAGGATCAAGAGTTCAAAGCCAGCCTCAATGAAGGCAAGGCACTAAGCAACTCAGACCCTGTCTCTAAATAAAAAAATACAAAATAGGGCTGGAAATGTGTGTGGCTCAGTGACTGAGAGCCTCTGAGATTCATGATTGAGTGCCCCTGAGTTCAATCCCAGGTACAAAAAAAAAAAAAAAAATATATATATATATATATATATATATGTGTGTGTGTGTGTGTGTGTGTGTGTGTGTGTATGTGTGTGTATTTATTTATTTATTTATAGAATGAACTGGGAGGGGAGGTAGATCTGGGTTGTAGTCTCTCAATGTACCAGGGTACATTTATTGTATCGTAGGAATATGGAACAAGATGCTAGGAGCCTTTTTCTGGTATGATTGCTTCATGGAACTCAGGGCTAAGAATTAGCCTTTTTTTCCTTTCTTTTTTTTTTTTTTTTAATTTCAAGTCTGTTTTGTTAACTAAAACTAGACAAAGTTAAAAAGCTATTGAGTAAGAATGTGTTTTCCATGAATAGATATTTAAGTCAAAACTGCAGCTTATCTTTAAACCTCTGATTTATGTTCTAATTATATTGTTTGAGAATAAATAGATAATTCTAAAAGCAGTTTCTATGCAAATTACCACAAATTCATAGTTATGTCTGACTTGATTATACATTAATTATCAATGTAAGGGAAAGATGTTTGGAAAAATACTGTATATGCATGAGGCATTTAGATTTTGAAAATTATATTAATGAGGTGATTCAAGTGAATAAATATTTCAGCTTCATAGAGCTGTATCCTCAGGAAATCCTATTTTCCTAGGCAAGAAAGATAAGAAGAAATAGATGGACAAACACAGATATGCATGTAGGGAATGAAGATGCAAAAGTAGTTTAGAAATTCCCTGCCTGAATTCTATGTTAAACGAAGGCCAGAATGTACATAAAATACTCAAACAACTATAAACGAACTTGTAAGAGTCCCTCTGAATTAAGTCTAACTGCCAGTACTTCTTTTGTGTTCCTGGGGGAAGCAACCAGGGGGCATTTCATAGTCTTGGATCCCAGAGTCCCAGTAACAGACATGCCCTGCACACGTGGTGGCAGTTGTTTGCCACCTTTGGCTTGCACATGTGCAAGGAGGAGAAAGTGTGAGTCCTGTTTTTGTTTAACATCCCCTTCCTTTTCCCTTACACCAGGAACAATACCAAACAGTAATAGGTTTTCCAAGTGGTTTGTTAAATGGAAATAATACAACGTAAGTGTGTCCGTATATGACCTGGTTCTTAAGCCAAGAGTAAACTCAATGTTGAATCAGTTAATGTACTACCAAAAAAAAAAAGGAAATTCACGTTTGTTTTCTTGTTAGGTTCATGCAAATATTGAAAACTCTTGGAATGAGGAAGAGGTTTGGAGAATTGAAATGTATATCTCCTTTGGCATAATGAGCCTTGGCTTGCTTTCCCTCCTGGCTGTCACTTCCATCCCTTCTGTAAGCAGTGCTTTAAACTGGAGGGAATTCAGTTTTATTCAGGTATGTGAAGTTTTGTTTGTTAGGGATTGGGCAGCATAGAATTTCATTGTTAAGCAAATTTGAATTTTAAATATACTTCTTATTAAAAGAGTGCTTTTGGGGTTATATTCATGCATCTAATTCATAATGCTAGAATCCAGTTAGCACCACTCTGATTTAATAAGTGAAAAACCAGTAAATCCTTGTACTAGAAGACTTTGATAGCACTGTCCCCTATGTGAAGGATAAAGGTTACTTTATTAGGAAAGAAAAAAATGAAAGTGGAAGAAAATAGATCACATTTAGTGCTAAAAGTCAATTTATTATTAACCAAATGAATGAAAAATTATATTTTGAGTCATCTTGATGTTTCTGGGGAAAAAATCTTATTAATTTGAATACAAGTATGGAGAAAGTAAGTCTAAATATTTTAAAGAAATATGTCAAATTAGGTAACCAGGTTAATGGATTATGACAAGCAAACAACCCTGTGAATCTAGTTAGTATATGTATTTAACATATCTTCATATACTAATGTATAAGAGTATTTGTAGAGGAATTTTAAAATACCATTGTGTTCTTTAAAAAACCATTCTTCTTTTCCAGTAACATCTATATAATGAATTTGCATATTTTAAAAATTTATAAGCCAAATTTAAACTCTACATATAGGATCACAAAATCTGTACTGGTTGCATACAAATGGTTTATAGCACAATATTTGGATCAGTGCTATAAAAAAAGTGCTATAAAACAAAGTAAATTTTGTTTCTCTGCCAATATATTTGAACTTTATTCTTAAAGTCATGTAAAAAAACTATATTCAAATTAAGAACATAACCTTTGTCTAAATTCATCTTTCCTTTCTGAAGAGAATGTGAAAACTTTCCCAATTTTGGTTAATCATACATGAAAAGAAATAGAAGACCCTCTGATTAAAGGCCCACCTTTTATGCTAGACAGGTGCATATTATCATAAATTTAGATGAGTAATTGCAAACATTCTGCCTGCCAGAGTTGATATTTTCCTGGTGAAGTCAGACATTACATCATTATACTGATTTAATATTACTTTTATGTAACAAACCATTTCTCAAAGTAAGCAATCTTATACATACTAATTTAGGGAACTGAAGAATGCTGATCTTTTAGAATTTAACCTATAAACTGCCTAACTACAGTACTCTTAATAATTACATTCACTATGGTCAATAAAGCTAACGTTTGAATTGGTATTTCTATTTACATATAAATATTATAAGATTTTTCATATTTTCCTACTAACTAGTATGTATATAATATGTATGTGTACTCTTTATCATTTATGTTCCATGTATTCAAGTGTGTGTGTGTGTGTGTGTGTGTGTGTAATACATACAAATATACATAGCTGGTGGGAATGTGGATAACCTTTATAAATAAGAGTTTAGCATTGTGTATCAGTATTCTTAAGGAAAAGTAAAGTGTTTTGACTAATAATGACACTAGTAGAAATCATTCTTAAGGAAATAAGCCTAAATATAGAAAATGACCTAAAGTTATATTATTTATAGTTGAAGAATGTTGGAAATGGAGTAAATGAGCAACAAAAAAGAATTATTAAATAAATTATGTACATCATTCAATCAAATAATATTAACATCCAATTTGGCACTGTGGCACATACCTGTAATCCCAGAGACTTGGGAGGCTGAGACAGGAGAATTCAAAGTTCTAGGCCAGCTTCAGTCACTTAGTGAAGCCCTAAGCAATTTAGCAAAACTCTATTTCAAAATAAAAAATTGAAAGGGCTGAGTATGTAGTTTAGTGATAAAGAACTCCTAGGTTCAAGCCTCAGTAACACCCCCCAACCCCCACTCTCCAGCCCCCCCCCCCCAAATGTCCTGTTTTCATTTTTAATTACATGAACATGTTCTTGATACAATAGACTATTAAAATAATGTATTGATTTGGCCCTATTTATGTAAAATAAGGTGTGCATGTAAATAGTAAGCATGTAATGTATAAAATATGAAAGTGTTGAAGGTTGTTTAATTCGGAGAGGACAAAGAGTAGTTCAGTAATTTAAAAAGACAAAATAGTTTTATCAAGATATAATCATGGTATATCTGGATAGGTTAATTCATGAGTTTGAATATTTGTTATCTTATTGTTTTTTTTTCTTCTTCTTCTTCTATCCCAAGTCTACACTTGGATATGTTGCTCTGCTCATAAGTACTTTCCATGTCTTAATTTATGGATGGAAACGAGCTTTTGAAGAAGAGTACTACAGGTTTTACACACCACCAAACTTTGTTCTTGCTCTCGTTTTGCCCTCAATTGTAATTCTGGGTAAAATTGTATTATTTCTTCCATGTATAAGCAGAAAGCTAAAAAGAATTAAAAAGGGCTGGGAAAAGAGCCAATTTCTAGAAGAAGGCACTGGAGGAACAATTCCTCATCTTTCCCCAGAGAGGGTTACAGTAATGTGATGATAAATGGTGCTCACCCCGCCATATCAAGTGTTACTCACATCATTATTTTTATGACTTCCTCTGTGTTTGGTTGTACATGTGCTGTCAAATAACTATGGTTTGAAAATCTGTTAAGTGATATTTCAATTGAATTAGTAATAGAATTTTCTCCAAGTTAGCTTTCACAAATGTCCTATTTTGCCAATATGAATTTTTGTAGTCAACATATTGTTGAAATGTAGGTATGTTTTGTTTTGTTTTGCATAACTGTAACACTATTGTTGTTTTATCTATATTTCATAATCAGGCAATATATATATATATATAATTAATAATATAAATATATGTTAAAACAATATGCAAACCAGCAGAATCTGAAGCTTTAATATGATTCAATGGATATGCTTTTTTCTGAAGCTTAAGTAAGGCTTTAATTATTATCCAATTTAATAAACAAAATTGTATAATTATACATTATTAGAAAAGGACAATTATGTTAATATCTAGGTAATGGTACATGGTAACATCCATATACTTCTCTCATAAGATACGAGTTGAAGATTGTAATTAATTGTATGAAGCAATGTGTTTAATTAAACAAACACAAATTAAAAAGACAAACTTGAAATTATATTTAAAATGCACTGTAGACATGAAATACAACTGATAAAACACAACTCAAGAAAGATTTTATTTTTTATCATGTTACAGAGCAGTTTAATTTTCATCTTAATTAAATTGAACAGGGAAAGGACTCAGAACTATTTGGCCTCCAAAACTGATGTATATACACATATATATATTATGTATATACACATATAAATAATAGTATCTATCCTGGAAATTGGATATTATTCTTAGAGCAAAAGTACAGGTTTAGATATGTATGGTGATGCTCATCTATAATTCCAGTGACTTGGGAGGACAAGGCAGGAGGATTGCAAGTTCAAATTCAGCCTCAGCAACTCAGTGAGGACCTAAGCAACTTAGCAGTGACCCTGTCTAAAAATAAAAAAAGCTGGGGATGAAGCTCAGTGGTAAAGTGCCCCTGTGTTCAATGCCCAGTACCAAAAAGCAAAAAAAAAAAAAGTGTACATATTACATACAAGTAGTTATTTCTCAGATGAGCTTTGCTGTTGTACCTTAGTTATCACCACTCTCTGTGACAGGGGATATTACTGATGCTCATTCTAGGATTTTAAGTACTAGGCATGGTTGTATTACCCCACTTAATGCTTACAAACATTAAGCTCAAAAACATGTGAGAAAGACAGTTATCTTCATTTTACATAACTGAAGGATAGAAAAGTTATTTTCCCAAGGTCACACAGAGGCTCAGTAAGCATTCAAGTCCAGGCAGACATGTTCCAGAAGCCAGGCTTTAATCACAAGGCTCTACAGCCCCTGCTCCATCCCCACACATTACATTCATGATGCCAGCCTAGATACCTTCTCTCTTGTATAAAGGCAGCAGCATTCTTTAGAGTAGGTCGTGTGCATCAAAAGATGTATGAAAATCTGCCAATTGTAAATTTATTATTGCTTGCAAGTAAGTCCATAGTTATTTACCTGGCCTGGAGTGTGAGCCTGGAGACCCCCGATAGTGCATATACCCACCTCTGCAGTGAAGACTCAAGCAGAGAGAGGACCACAGCAGTGATAATGAAATTACTGAAATCTTGCAGAATTAAAAAAAAAAAAAATCCCTGAAAAATTGGATATCTCCTTTTCTCTTCCTGAGAGGCCTCCTGCCTGTACAACCATTCATTAAGGAACAATTTATTAGCATGAAGGATATTAAGATAAGTGGTTAATTATACATCTAGAGGCATATAATCATATTATTCATAAAATTTCTCAGTGCTGACATTCCACATGTAAACTGCATTTTGTTCAAACCTTATAATATCCTACATTTTCCTCATTTTCTCTTTCTTACTAAAATAGGAAGTTGCAGACGAGATACAATTATATCCATTCCTCTTCCTGAAATTATGTCATTTCTCAACTTACCTATTGACTTGAATCCAGTTGCCAAAAAAAAAGGACTTACTTAGTGTAGTCTACCTTTCCTGCCAATGATTCTTTTCCTACGACTGCACTGTCAGTCTGGTAAATCTCTCAACCTTCTCTGATGTTCTCTTTTTGGTGAATTTTAGTACCTTGTACTTCCTAATTGAGCTCTCCATTTTCTTTGTGTTAATTACATCTCTCCCCTCTAAATAATCCCCTTCTTGTTAGTTCTTGGTAGGAATTCAGTTGGGTGATAACTGTTAGGGATAACTACTTAACCATGCTATTATTGTGAACTAGTGAAAATAGCTTGTTTTCAATGCTTTTCTTGATCCTTAAATTTCATTCTCAAGACTATGCTTTACTCATTTAATGTGAAAATACAATGAAATATTTCCAAAAGTTAAGTAAATATTAAAGTTTATTGTCATATGTATATTTAAGTAGCCAGTGATATGAATAAAATTATCACTAGTACAGATAATTGAGAACATGGAAAATGTGAAAAAACAAACTGATGAACATGTGTAAACGAAGCAAATATTATTGCACATGACAGTATTTCTTTTGCGTGCTACAAAAACAGAATAATTTTGAAATTTTAGAATAAATGTAATTCTAACATTTAATGGCCTTTCTAAAAGTGCGAGTCTATTGATTTTCAATTGCTTTATTTTACTGCTTCTGTGAGTTTTTTCCCCTTATTTTTCATATCTTTTACTTTTTGGAATCATTTTTTTGGCCTCAGTAGTAGAACTAAATTTTGCTGTTGCTAGATGTGAGGAGGTGGTGGTGGGCACATTTAGAAGAGTAGAGATTTATTTCCTGATCTGTGTTTGAGAAGTGGCCCTGAGAAAATCGTAAGAATGTAGAACATATATATTCCCAGTTTTTATCCTATGCAATGAAAATCAATTTTTTTCCTATGAGGAAACCAACCATGAGCTATATCAAACTACTTAGCTTTTGTATACAGATTTCATATCTCCTTTTAAGAATATTTAATATCACATTTAGATATAATTATATTCATGGTAACATTTATTTTTCAAAGTGTACATGAAATTTAGCCCAGACTGTCTACATATGAGATTTTTATTTAAATTTAAAAATATTTAGACATATGAATAAATTATATTTATAGTTGTTTATCAGAGGTAATTATTTTGTGCTACATACAGGGTTAGTGTTCAGATGACTAATTAATTTCTTCTAAATTATTGCAACCTTGAGTTGACTAAAGAATTTTACTTTCAAAATTAATTTAATAATAGTAATATTAGATATATTAATACTTACAGCCAAATTGTGAAAATTACTTGTGTAAAAGGGCTTCAAGAATATATCAGATCCAATTTTTGTATTATTTATCTCTTATGGAAAACAACCTTACTTATTTTAATTGTCTTTTGCCATTAAACTACTCCATAAAAAATTCTGTTCAGAGAACATCCCCTGCTCCAAAAAGAGGTTTGTTTATGATATTTAACTTTTGTTTGTTGGTTTTAAATAATTATACCATAAGTGTAATTCAAAAGTATTTCCTTAGGAAAACTGTAAACACTGAGCTAATTATACCTATGTCTAGCTATAAAATCCTTGTTTTGAAATAAGTATTTAAACAGCCTAAAAGATTGTGTTTTAATTCTTTCATAAATTCACAACTTAAAGCAGTGCTGGCAGGGTGCAATGGCTCATGCCCGTAATCCCAACGACTCAGAGACTGAGTGAGGCAGAGGATTGCAAGTTCTAGGCCAGCCTCAGCAACTTAGTGAAATCCTGTCTTGAAATAAAGGGATGTAGTTCAATGGTAAAGCACCCCTGGGTTTAAATCCCGGTACAAAAAAAAAAAAAGAAAGAAAGAAAGAACAAACAAAGTAATGCTATCATAGTACACTTCAGTCTAGTGTTAAGGTTTATATTTGTAATGTGTCATCATGAAAATGAGATGCTCCACCCTCAATTGTTCATAAGTCAGTAAAGGAGATTGTGGTATACATTCAGTATAGGCAATTAGCTCTAAATGAAATCATAATAATTTTAGTGGAAACACAATCTGTTTGGACTTTAAACAGTGAATTTTACAGGAATGAATAGGTTCTTGGGTTTTTTAGTGTGAGGAAATTATAAAGTACTTAATTTTCAGTTTGTCCATCTGATATTAAAAATATTTTTGTTCATCCTAATATACATAAATACTGATTTTTTTAACTTTACAAATCATTGAATTTTCATTGTCCCTTCTTCCAAAATTAAGGCTGACCTCAAATTCTTCCATTTGCTAGATGGACTAAAAGCATCTGCTTTTCTATGATTTCCAAATTGCAAACTTCAAGGAAATATTCTGTCCAAGATTTTCTTCCAAGGTCTTTCATAGCATTGCAGATGGTGAGCATGAACAGGGACTGGAAATTGTTTTCCAATGTCTATTTACCCTACTTCTATTCTATAAAAGCAGCCAATCATCAGTTTTCAGCTGTCCTTGCAGTTGGCTGTCTGTGCTGATAAATTCTCCAAGGAAGGTCACAGCTCTTTATCATCCCTCCATCTTGCTGCTGGGGTTATGGATACAGCAGGATCTGGAGCAACTATTCCCAAAACTCAAGGCTATACCCTAAGGAAGATAGATTAGAGACTACCAGAAATACTATAACAATTTCACTACTTCCACAGTTTTTTTCTTGCATTAAGTATTATAAATTTGGGTTTCTTTGTTAGATGAAGTCAAAATTAATTCTTTCTGGTCTTCAGTTCTTTATCTTAATGGCATTTAATACTGTTGATTAATATAGACTGCAATAATTCTTTTAAAAGCTTTTAAAGGATAATATGCAATTCACATTAAAAGTGATTTTCCATTGTTAATTAACTACTCATTTTCTTGCCTTGATTTTTTCATCTGATGTTTTGTACCTGCTTGGAAAATATGGATTTCTTTGTAACTGTGTAATTCACATTTGCTAAAACTATGTAATCTCTAATATACTGCTATCAAGTTACATGCC